GGAGGCGTATTTGTGTCTCCTACCCCTGTGCGCCAGACATGCGGTCGTGGACTGGGCTGACCAGGCAGCACGTGAATGATTCGCACAAACTTAAGCGGAAAATTCGAATGATTTAGTTAACGTTTGCATTTCTGCTGCTGGCAAAGTAAATTGTCCAGGTTTTTACTCCTGGCTCAGCCCTTTTTCTCCCACTAGCTGCATTGGTGGCTGCGGCCGACTTCTGGCTTCTATCAGTCGTTTGCGGGGACGGGGTAAGAAATGCCACTCTAAGTCCCCCATTTTCGTCGCTTGATCAGTTTTCAATCATAAGGATGTAATTAAAGCGAAGCTACAGAGCAACAAATTCGAACAAAGAAACACCACGCAATGCAAGTGATCCACAGAATATTACTCTATTCACTACCTCGACACCCAGTAGATAAGATAGATTTTCAGCATTAAAAAAAACTACAGAACCGCAAAAGGGCAAATCAACCAGTGATTCATTAATGTGGAACCAATGCGACTAGTTTTGTTTACTTAGCTTGCCTACGTGCAAATATAGATGTGTGTGTGTTACGCCTGTATGAACCAACGTTCTGATGCAGAGGTATGAAGCCTTCCCTATAACTACATACGCACCCACGTAGATCCAGATTGTATGTAGTCAGATGCCCATCTATTTTTGCATTTATGCACATAAAGACTTTTATAGATATCCATGCGCACGCACATGGTTGTACGCCTTGTGTAACCACTTTTACAAAGTATTTGTATATTTCGAATGAGCATGCATTTACAGGTGAAGGTGTACTTGGGAAAAGGCAGACCCAAGTAGCAATAACGTCCCCTCCCCACGACAGATGAGACTTCAAGGCAGCATATGCATGCACGTGGGCATACCTAGAAGACCTGCTAGATATCATACGAGGTTTCAGTTCATCTATGTTTAGTTCCTTAGACATTCTTCGCCCATTACGGACGATAAGTTGGCACACCCATAAAAAATGTCGAGCAAAAAAAATGTTTTGTGAATGATAGTACAAGGGTTGAGGAGTAAATTCGAGAAAGTGCACATTTTGACTCTACTATAAGGAATCTTGAACAACCAAACTCGTCGACGGCACCACGGATTTCCAGTCGCAGGTGCCACTGGTAACTGACACGATGGACCGTTAACTATTTAACGTTTTGATCAATTGTGTGGATTTAATTTAGTGTAGTTATACTTCCTTTCAACATAGTTCCTTCTGTACTGTCTACAGACAAACACAAACATTGCACACAGGAATGCCGCCTCTGCGCCCGGGCGGAAACCCCTCAAGTTTAATACTGGATAGTAAGTGAAAGTTATCAAAATGACAGGAATGTTGAGCGAATCAGTCAAAGCATAGCTAATTACTCGCATTCGTAGATGTTCTTTGCTGAGGTTTGCATGTAGTGTCTATCGGTGTCCGCTCAGCACTCGATCATCATGATGATTGCGTTCTTTTGAACCGAGAGTCTCACGATTTTGCAAACTTATTCGCGTGTAAACATTGAAAAAGAGCCATTTAGATTATTGTGAGCCAACGTTCTGTGTTTCTGAGGTCCGTTCGTCGCTTCCTGTCAGTTGGCTCTTGAGTTCAGCAGCTTCACCACTTCCATGTTGTGCGTGTCTCTTTCTTCCGCACTTTAGAGGCTTTCTCTAATCATTCGCTTCATTTTTTCTGTCTCTTTGTCTTTCAGCGAGAAGTTTGGATTTATCTGGGCCTAAGCTACAGTTGCCCCCCTGTGTTGCCCCCTGCTGCGCACCTGTGGTCAGAACAGCACCCGGAGCAACGTGAGGGCCCACATTTTGCTAATTCTCGACTCTTGAGCGTTTCCTTCTACAGCTTACTCGCCTCAGAGGCTACTCAAGCGCCTAAAAAGACAGGCATCATTTCTATTTTGCACAGACAGCCATTGTCGCCATGGGGCTGGAGCCCCGGGACTTGCACAATCAGTCGGAGTTCACAGAGATATGGGACGCTCTCGACCTCACCTCCAGCGTTGCCCTTAATGCCCGGCAGCCGGCGCCTTCGGCCTCGCGACCTTCTGCTGCTGCTTCGACTGCAGCAGCAGCACCAGGGCAGGGCCGCGACACTGCAGCAGACGCAGAAGGAGCAGCAGCCTGTGCCCTACCAGCTGTCTCAAGGCCAACAGAGGACGCAGGCCCGCCAGCAAGTGAAGCCAGCTTGTCAGGAGCTGCAGACGCTGTGGCAGCGAACACAGGAAGCACAAACGCCCTGGAGCAAACGGGAGCCTCACGGGCAGCTGAAGACTTACAGGCTGACGCAGCAGCAAGTGCTGTTCCTGCTGCATCCGCAGAAATAGCGACTTTGCAGCAGATCTTGAGGACTCGAGAAGGCAATCTGGCGCTTGTGTCTGACGTAGATGAGCAGCTGTTGATAAATGTCTGCTTCAAACAGCCTATCAGGGTGAGCTCTTTGCTCCTTAGCAGTGTTCTTGAATGCATTTTTATCTTTGTAGCGAAGCTTTCGGCCTTATCATTTTAAGTCTTGCGGTCAGCTACGCTCATGGTTGACCACCGCATGTTGCTACCGTATTTTGTTTCGTAACGGAGCTGTAAAGCGAGATCACCACAAATCAACTTTAACTAGTTCGCTTCATACATCTTATTTATCTTGTCTTCGCTTAGCTTGCCTCATTCTCTATCATTGCCTCTACTCCGCCTGCCGGCTTCCCCACCAACAGCGACGAGGAAGATTCAGTCGCTGCCCCAATGCTGGTTAAGGTAAAAAAAGGCCTGCTCTTTTATGCTTATTTGTCTTCTTCTACCCTTTTGATTGGGTGGGTCTGTATTTGTCTTCGGCGGTGTAAAGGGTTGCCTAGGTCGGTGATTTTCAGGTGTACAAACACTGCGCTGTGCGTACTCACAGACAGATATGAAAGGCGTCAGTATCATGAAACACGTTGGCCCTCCATATCTTTGCATGTACCTTTTGTTTGCATTTCGTTTCACGTATTTGTGATCTGAAATCACGTGGCGTCCTTGCTGCAGCGCTCTTATCCCTACGTGTGCTCATTTCACTCGTTTGTTTTTGTACAGGTGTACTGTAACAAAAGCGCGATCAACTTTTGCGGCGTATTTGACGAGGCATGCGCTTTCTCAGTGCAGCTTACGGCTGAGGATGTCATCAGCGGCCGCAGAATAGCTTTGCCTGGCAGCAAATTTCATATGTGCTCATCGGCTCAGCTATTTGTTCAAGAAAACCAAACAGGGGCCACCTACACCTACCTGAATAGGTTGAACTTCTACGGGGTGGCGCACAAACGCTACTCATAGAATGCAAAGGAACGCATGCGCCGTCGCTACGGTGGCCCCAGTGAACCCACTTTTCTATTTGTTTGGATAGGCAGGGATATCTGGCGCTTGCGTTGCTGTAGAATTCGATAGAAATGTGAAGCAGTGGGGGCCGAGAAGGTCCACGCAATGCTGGTCCTCAGTTCGTCACTTACGGGCTTCAGTGTCTCAGGCTGAGACTGCTGCAGCAGCGGATTAGTTGGTAGGTAGAGCTGGCTGCAGAGGGGCAGAAATAGGCGCTGCGGCGCCTTCACCTTTTCTAAACTTCGCAGATAAAGTGCTATGATTGTTTAGTTATGCTTTAGGGTGCACAAGGAGCCTTTAGTTTAGAGAGTGTTGTGATGAATCTGAGGCAAAATTGCAAGCTGAATGGAGCAGGGCCATCACTGCTCCTTTGGGTTTCTCGAATGGCCTGCCTGCGCGTTGTGAATAAGTAACTAGTCAGCAGCGCAGCAGCAGCCACTGCAGCAGCCGCTGCCATCCCTGTGTTTGCTAGAAGGGGCAATGTATGGGGGAGCAGTTGCCGTTCAAGATGTGGAGTAACTCTGCGTCCAGTGGTGGCGCGACGAGCAGATCCAGCTTGACTCGAGGCGCCTTCGGAGTCAATTGATAAACAAATAGAACTGGCAGATACTGAATGACTTCGGAGTGAATAAGTGAATGGTGTTTACGTTCCTTTTGAGCAGCAGGCACTGCGAGGGGGGGAAGTCAATTTGAAACCAATGACAGAAGGCAGCGATAATGAGATAAAACGCTTTCACTTGGATGAAGTATACATTCCGAATATGGTTTTCTTAGCGCGAGGCTCAATAACTGCCATTTACCTGGAGATGACGACAGCAGAGGGTCCTGGGCTCCAGTTCAGCGGAATCGCGCATTTAGGGACAGAACATGAGTCCTGGTCTTGTCTCAAGCTTGTGTCATATTTCAATGCTATTTAGTCTGATGCTGAAGAAGTCGTGGGTTTTAGGCTCATTCATCACTCATTGCCAGCTGCCAACAACTGACGGCTGCGTCCCGCTGCCTGGAGCCGCTGGCCGCGGGGCGATCAATGCTTGTTCTGAGGCAATCCTTGGCAGTTTTCGCGAAATAATTTTCCTTTTCCAAATTTAAAGTCAAGTTCTGTGCAGGTTTCCTCCTTTAAAGCCAAGGAGGGCAGGATGACCCATTCGATTGGGGGGAGAAGGATCGGTCCTTGGGCTCACTGGTCGGACCACTAAGACAGCGCAAATGCCGTGAACTCGCTTCAGCGGCAGCACTTGACAAACTCATGTGGGAGGGAACCTCTTTTTTCTCTCGTCTTTCAGCCTCAGATTTCTCCCGTTTACCCTCCGTTGCGTCGCATGGCAGCAGCAGCAGCAGACACGGACCAGCAGAAGCACACAGGCGGCGCTGCAGCTGCCTATTTGCGGTTTTTTGCTGCATCAACTTTGCCGCCTCTCTGCTTCTACCTGCCGCCTCTGGACTCCAACTGCCGTCAGTTGAACACCATGGAACAAAGCCCAGCAACAGTGAGTCACTGGTCTAAGCCCTGCACCTGTACATCCTTATGTTTATGTTTGCTCGTGCGTTGCTGTTCCTGCTTCCGAACAGAATTCATCCTGCACTAAAGAGAGATACGAGCTGACGTATATTTTAGTTGTATCAAGGTCTCTTTGCCACTCGAATAGCGCTGATGTCGCAGGTATCCTTCTCCACACACTGCCAAAACCACTACCAATTCAGCCATTCAGTAAATGTCTTCTCCTGTATTTCAGATGAAAATGCTCTGCAGCCTTGGACCACTGAGGTTCAGCAAAAGCTGCGCCAAGGGCCACTTCAGAGGTCGCTAGGCCCCAATGCCCCCTTGGGAAACAACAGCACAGCAGCAACAGAGGGGCCTCAGGCGTGGGCTTCAAGAGTTCGCCTTCGCTCTCTCAGGAGTCCCGCTTCTGCTGCAGATGACTTTTTGAAGTTCACGGGCGACTCTGATGCGGCTGCTGCGGCAGCTGCTGCTGTTGACACTGATGCTGCTGAGGAAAGCAGAAGACGTAAGTTCGCCGTCCTTCCGCTGAGCGCTGATGTTGCTGTACAGCTCCACACGTTTGTGTCGGGGCCAAGTGCAACGCCAAAGAGCCACGCCAGCAATGCCGTCGGCGCAACAGCAGCTGCTGCTGCTGCTGTACCACCTTCTGCACCACTCCCCAGGTATGCTGAGCCTAAAACCCCTTTCATCGGCCCGTCCGCAGGTGCTGCGAAGCGACACTGGCTGGGTTACCCCTCCAACAACAGCTTAGGCCCTTCATTTGAAAGTGTTTGGAGTGGCCGCCCCTTTGTTTCTGTTCCTACTTCATTAGTCCAAATGAACAAGTTCGACAGCAGCGAAAAGAAAACAATCTACCCCGCCCCCGAGCTGGTGGAGGAAGGCTACGGGAAATTGGTGTTACCCCCTGCCAGACTGTCACAAAACACCACCCCTCCTAACCCCAGCTCTACCCCATCGCCCGGCACCGAGGGGTCCCCCGGGGGAGCCCGCGCGCAGGCCGAAGCAGTAGCAGCAACGGACTTCGTGCCTGGAAACTACACCCCAGACGTGCCGCCGGAGGTGGCCCTAGAGGGCTTGGGGGAAGGACAGGGGCCTGATGCCTTCGGGGAGGGAGAGGTGGGCTTCGAGGACGAGGGAGCCGTTGGGGGGGACCCGTTCGACCCCTCCTACGTCGATGGCTTGCCACTCGCCGACATGGGCTACGCAGACATGGGCTACATGCCAGGGGCCTACGGTGACCCGTCAGTGATGGGGGTACCAGGAGCCATGGGCTATGGGGGAGCCATGGGAGGAGTTGGTGCCTACCCAGTCGGGGCTCCTGGCTATGCAATGGGCGGCTCAGCCTACGGGCTAGACGGCACATACTACGACCCGTACGCCATGGGTGGTGGGATGTACGGGGGTGGCATGTATGGGGGGCCAATGTATGGGGGCCCCATGTATGGGGGGGGCATGCACGGGGAATATGATGACCACTATGATTACTACAAAAACCGATACAATGATGAATACGCTCAGAAGCACGCGAAAGAGGCTGCTAAGGAAGAGGCGAAGCGAAAGAAAGCAGAGGAGGAGAAGGAAAGAAAAGAAAAGGAAAAGGAGCAGAAAAATGCCGAGAAAGAAGAGAAGAGGAGACTAAAGGAAGAAAAAAAAGAGCAAAAGAAAGCTGAAAAGGAAGAGAAAAAGGCGAAGAAAAAGGAAGAGAAGAAAGCAAAGGAAGCTGCTGGCGATCAGAAAAAGAAGGACAAAGCAGCGTCCAAAAAGCATGCCAAAGCAGACAAAAAAGACAAAAGTGACAAAGTGGACAAAAAAGACAAAAAGGAAAAGGATAAAGGAGGGGACAAAGGGAAAGATAAGAAGGACAAAGGCGATAAGGCAGCAGATACAAAAAAAGATAAAAAAGGCAAAAGAGAAGGAAAGAAAGAAAAGGGGGGCGGCGACAGTAAAGCTGAGGGCAAAGACGCCGCTAAAGATGGCTCCAAAAACGGTGAGGACAAGAAGGCAGAAAAAGACGCCAAAGGAGACTCAGCCAAATCAAAAAAAGGAAAGGACAAGGCGAATGATAAATCAAATAAAAGCGCAGATAAAGCAGCAGATAGGACAGAAAAGGCAGCGGACAAGAAAGACAAAGCAGCAGCAAAGGCAGACAAAGCAGCAGCGAAGAAAGAGAAGGCGGAAGGAAAAGCAGACAAGGGAGCAGCCAAAGCAGAAAAGGGAAAGGACGGGGAGGCAGCCAAGGGCGGCAGCGACAAAGCACAGAAATCCGCTAAGGGAGATAAAACAGCTGACAAGGGACAAGCAAATGCTGACGCCAAAGGGGGAAAGGACAAGGCAGCAGCAAAAGAACAGAAAAAAGCGGAGAAGGCAGCAGCAAAGGAACAGAAGAAAGCAGACAAGGCAGCAGCACAGGAACAGAAAAAAGCGGAGAAGGCAGCAGCGAAGGAGCAAAAAAAGGCGGACAAGACAGCAGCAAAGGAAAAGAAGAAAGCAGACAAGGCAGCAGCCAAGGACCAAAAGAAAGTAGACAAGGCAGCAGCCAAGGACCAAAAGAAAGCAGACAAGGCAGCAGCCAAGGACCAAAAGAAAGCACACAAGGCAGCAGCCAAGAGCCAAAAGAAAGCTGACAAAGCAAAGGCGAAACAGGAGAAAGCGGCAGCAAAGCAACAAAAGAAGGCAAGCAAGGCAGCTGCAAAACAGGAGAAGGCAGCAGCAAAAAAGCAGAAGAGTGCAGAAAAAGCGGCGAAGAAACAGCAGCAGAAAGCAAACAAGGCAGCAAAGAAGCAGCAGCAGAAAGCAGATAAGGCAGCGAAAAAACAACAAAAGGTAGCTGCAAAACAGCAAAAGGCAGCAGCAAAAAAGCAAAAGGCAGCAGCCAAGAAGAGCAGTAAAAAGACGAAATCTGCGAAAACGTCGAAGAAGTCAAAGACGACAAAGACGAAAACTAAAAAGGCAAAGACAAAGAAAACGAAAGCTAAGAAGCCAAAGACCACGAAAAGACGCAAAACAAAAACCTCCAGGGCGAAAAGGAAGTCAAGGAAAATCAAAAGGAGAAGGTGAGAAAAGAGACGCAAGAGGCACTTGCGCTTTTCTAGACTTCTCCTCAGGAAATTTGTTGGCAACCAAAAGCAAAAAACGCAAAAGGAGAAGACGCAGCAAACAGCACGGTGCACTGTACAGGCACATGGAGGCAACTGACCGACATAAAAGTTGTTTTATGGCTAATATCGTCTTTTTATCTGTGCATTTTGCAAGTCGCAGCAACGCACTAGATACCACTCTAGTTTCCCAGCCTATTTACCGACAATTGGATACTGGGCTGCATCTCCAAAAGCCTTTTAGTAGCCGCAGCAGCGAAGTGATTGGCTAGTGAAGCTAAGTGCAGACACAATATTTTTCGTAGACTGCAATTACCCAGTTACTTAGTTACTTAGTAACCTGCAGACACGAATATTAGTAAATAAGTTCTAGTCAGCTTTCCTCTTCGAAGCAAAACTGCCTTAACAAGTGAGCTACAGGGAAGCAGGCGTCGGCGCCGCAGTATACAGGAGTCAAATAAAATGAACAGTCTTCACCTGAAATGGGCCCCTTAAAAAGCCTTGAAAACCTCTTCAGCTGTATTAACATACACCTGAGGGTGACGAGTAGTGGAAAAAAAAAACTTCCAACACGTCACACCCACTCAAAGTTTTATTTCAATTGCAAGCGGTGTTGTGGGAGCTGTTTACTGCTGCCTTCTATCCAGCAGCAGCAGAAGCCGCTGGTGTCTGGGGAGACCCATACTTATGTAAGTATGTTCAAAACAAAAACAAATGACGGATACGAAACTACTGCAGGTCACCTCCCTGTAACGCACCTGAGGTGCATGAGTCGTATTTTACTTTGATGTTGCGGGTTCTTTCTTCAAGTCTACAGATAGAAAAACAGTAGCTGCTGCCCCAAGCACAACAAGCAACCAAACTACTGCCACCACCGCCTTTGTGCTGAACTTCTTTTCTGGTCTGCTTACCCATGCGTGGGCCTTCGCTGCTTTTTTTCTTTTGGGAAACCATATTGTCGCTGGGTCTATGTATTTATCGTCGAGGCCAAAGGCTGTGAGTTCGCTTCTGAGCAGCTGCTCTTCCCTTGCGGCTACAGCAGCTGCTGCTGCAGCCGCACACTCCCCTTCAGTGCTGTCTGCTGCTGCACTACTATTTTTCCTTTGATGTTTTTCATTTTGTTCTTCCTCACTCAGCCGCCTATTGAAAAGAGCCTTGATATCACGCAGGTACGGAGCGTCGTCGCCTTTCTCGTTTCTTTGCTGGCTCCGAGTCCTCCAGAATAGCTCTCTCTCTCTCTGCATTTCTTCCCATTCATGTCTTTTCCTGGAAACTGCTTTGCTTAACTCAGTGTTGTAAGGATATGCAGCAGAGGCTGTCGGCGATCCACGCCGCCACTGCCAGGGATGGGACGATGGCTCTACTGAAGAACCCATGCTGTCGCAGCTCTGCGGCGTCACCTGCCGCTGCTGCTGCTGTCGTTGCAGCTGCTGTAGAGCTCTCTCATATGTTTTCCTGAGTTCTATGAACTTGCGTGAAGCATCTGTAGCTGCTGCTGCTCCAGGGGCAGCCGCATCAGGGTGCAGCTGCTTTGCAAGTTCGATGTAACGACTCCTCAACTCGTCTGCTGACGCGGTAGGGGAGAGCCCCAGGACCTTGAAGGGACAACTATGTGCGGACCTTCCACTAGTGCGCAGTGCACTATGAAGGCGAACAGAACTTGGGGAAGGGCGGAAAGAAGAAGAAATAGAAAAGGGAAACATACGCCGCATCGCAGCCTGAACCTAACAAGGCCCCAATTAGGGTGGCAGTGCACTCCGCCAGTAGCTTGGATCAACTCTCAACAAAAGCACAAGGGTGCGATTAGGTCAATAGAGTAATTTCAGCAAGAGAACGCACCTTAACGCCTTTCAAAACTGTCAGTGAAGCGGCCGTGGCATTCCCCTTAGCGTTATCCATGTAAACAAGTTCAGTCGAATATACTTTTACAAACTGCCTCCTTGGCAACTTTAATTCAGGCCGATTCGATAGCGCTTATAGTGAACTCGCTGTTCACTTCAGTGACGGGTGGTGACGCCACATGTTCACAGCAGATGTATATTTGGAAAATGTGCTCGAATATACAGACTCTGATGATCTTGCAAGATGCTTACAAACGAATATGTATATAAATGAGTAAAAAATGCCGAGCTGTCCTACTCGGCGGAGTTCAACCCTTCAAGTTACTGTATGGGATAGAGCAGAAGGTTGCTCGCCCGTACAGCTAAGTGTTTGGCTAATTGCCATTTCGGCTGCGAAAAGTAGCTTTCCTGTAAGCAGACCTCGATGCTGTATTAAAGTTAATGCTACTGGGATAGATCTTGCAGCTACACCGAACAAACGCAGAGCTGGGGCTGGCTGCCCCGACAACGCATGCAAATCGAGCCGTCTGATCTGCGAAGTCGTTTGTGAGAATGTATTTTTTTCTCCTTGTTCATTAAGTATAGGAGAATCAATATCGCAGCTGCGGTTGGCAACGGAGGACACGAGCACGATGCGCGCGGTTCGCACAGACCCTAAATCTGCACGGCTGCCTCTTTTTCACGTTTTCTTCGGCTTGAAGTCAGAGAGCTCTGACGTTCTGCAGTCGAGGGTCGCAGTGACTGCCTCATTACCAGTCTCCTCGTACCTGAAGCAGCAATACCGGTGCCTTCTTTCTCTAACCAGCAGCAACGATAGGGGAAACTCTACGAAGCACAGAGCACTTTGTAGAGCTCGTTCCCACTGATTTCACCCAACCGGCTAGGGCGCCTGAGTTTAGAACTCACTTTCGTGCCCTCGCCAAATCGAAAGAATTGAGATATACTGCATTTTGTAAATTGAATCAAACCGAACGCCACGATGCAATTCGTCAAATCCTCCGTCTACCAGGCGGAGATCACAGAAGGGGGTGTGCGCGAGCGCGAAGTGGACACGCGCTCGAGGGAAGAGGTTGAGCTCCAGGAGAGGCTCAGAAAGCTCCCCGAATTTAGCCGCGGTCAGCTGAACGACTCGCTAGCTGGCGCCGTGCAGCGGAGTGCCGGCTAGCTGGCTACTTAGTTCATTAATTATCTAGCTAGCTGGACGCTACTTTGGCTCTGTCCTAGAAGATCTCATTCCGAAAGTCCTTTGCAACCTCAGTACTCATTCTTGATTCATGTCGCAGCCTAGGCTTCGGGTTCTTGTGTACCCTTTGCGATTTTGTTTGATGTCTGTTTGCGTTCTTCGGCGGCCTGTGTTATTTTGCAGATCCCAACTTTAAAAGGTGCGTCTTTCCTTGCTTTGACACACTGGCGCAGAAGATGATTTGTTGCTGGGGGAAAAAATAAAGCCACTGCATGTCCACCAACAACTCTTGTTTAGCCTTGTGTTCCTCATCATATAGAAAGGAAAGGCAGATGCTAGATCCCACCGCATGGACTTCGTAAATCATCATTAACAGTAGCACGGCGTTGTTGTGTGACTGCACAGCTACGCTGAACAAGTCTTGGAAGGACTGCCGCCGACGACACCGGAGCCTCCACCGCCTACAGAAGGAAAGCCGAACCCAAACCTTCCCCACTCTGTGCGTTTACTTTCCCTTTCTCCTCTTTTTTATAACGAATGCAGCACTGAGGGATTTTGTGCATTAGTAGGACTTGAATTCATTTCGCTAGTGGTGCGCGTGGTCACACCACAGGTAACAGAGGAAGAGTTCGAGTTTTATGAGGCTCTACGCGCGCAAGACCGCCGCAAGAAACTGGCAAGGCAGAAGGAGGAAGATGAGATGCGAGATGAGTTTCACAGGGCGAGAGAAGCCTCTCTCAGGCTTTCTGTAAGCTCTGTCGCTTCGTCTAATCGGGACCGCCGCAGCGCGGAGTCTGATACGAGCCAAACCTCCCTGGGGAAACCTTCCCCGTTTTCAGTTTTGGCAGCTCAAAAATACAGGTCAAAAATAAGTTCTCCGTTCGGAGAGGGATGCATTTTCGACGTGACAACGATAGCATTCAAAGAAAAACAGAAGAAGCGCGCTCTCGACGTGAGACGTTGCATGCACTTTTAATCCAGTGAATCTTTAGTGAATTCACTTCGCTGTCATCGTTGTGTGTGGGTGCTTTGCGGCCCGGTTGCGACCATACAAATGGAGCGCGTTGAACGTAGAATGCATGCGTCGACTGCGTACTTCCTTTTCAGGCCCGCCCGTCGTTAAACTTGATTATAAAAAAGCCTAAAACCAACGCAGCAGAGAGCACTGTCTCGAACAAGGCTGAGGATTCAGCAACTGAGGATGCGAAGAAAGATGAAGATAACGCAGCTGACGTAGGCGGGTCGAAAAGTGAAGACAAACAGGATTGGGCAAAGGCAGCTGCCGATACAGAAAAGGGGGATGTTTTCGCGTCACTTTGCGAGGCGTACGGCGATAGCGATGATTCTGGTTGAGATTCATGGCGCTTTGTTGGCTGATCTCAAACCTATGGTCTTGCACTTAACTGACAAGTGATGAATTTAGCCCCTTTATTTTTGCTCAAGCCCACTGGTTTCTACTGGATTAAGCGCTGACAATTCGCTTTTCAGTTAAATGAGAAAGTTCTGGGAATAGGGAGAACTAGAGGCACACTGAGCTGAAGAGGCTCTGCTCCCTCGTTTGCTCTAGTGAAGCTGACCAGCAGTTTTTGAAGCGAAAGCTGAATTAAACAGAAGGCTGTTCATCCGCCGCAGCCTCTATCCATTTGTCGCTGTGGCGGGAATGTTCCTACGGCACGTAGTGGCAAGCGTTTAAACCTCACAGCAGCTTTTGTATTAAAGATGCCCCGTCTGTTGGATACCGTGCTTCGCAGTTAGTTGTGTGTGGCTTTAGCACTGTTGTAGTCGAAATCTGGATGCAGTAGTTGTTAGGAATTTGTTCGTAGCGAACTTGGGCCACCAGCCGCAGTGGCAGTTACTCTGTGATAAAAAGGGCTCTAGTTTGCAACCAAGTCTTATAAGGATGTATTTGGCAGCCCAGTGTTCTAAGTGGCGCCACCTCGCTTACTTGGCCTTCCGGACACCGAAGACAGCATAGCGCAGCCCTCGATTGTTATTCCATGCATTCTTTTTCTGCTTCGCTATCACTTTTGATTGTTATTCCATGCGTTCTTTTTCTGCTTTCCTATCACTTGGGAGAGAAACGTGAAAGCTTTGTTGCTGCAAATTCCGTCGCATTGTTGCGCAAAGCAACACCCGATGATAGTGACACAGCGTTTTCGCGAGCCCACATAGCTACTGGAGACTTAATAGTGACCTGGAGAAGTCAGCAGTTGCAATCAGTGGAAAACTGGGGACACGCATCTAGTCAACATGCTTGAATGTTTTCAGCCCCACAAAGGGAATTGCTTTTGTTATGTCTTTCGAGTTGGTCCACCAATGAGGGCCAGTTCGTGCAACTGCCAGACCAACCGTGCAAGTTGAACGTTATGGCACGCTATCGGCCATGAACCCTTGCATACCCTCCTCGTAAGCGTAAAACCAAATGTTTTGTAGGAGCTCAATAGCTCAATATGTGGAAAGCTGAATGCACAAGCGCGGGCTAGTGCTTGGCTAAAAACCCGCTTCTGCTTGACGGGCTTGACGACGGGCGGAACGGTACCGGTGGCTGTCTGGGCGATGTCTCGGAGTGCTGGTTGAGGCTGCCTGGGGCTTAATTTTACAAAGATATTGTCCTGCTAAAATAAGCATAGTAAATTAAGGATAAAAAGGGCGAAAGCTTCCACAGATTCCTCCACGCACCTCCACTGGCGAGTCATTTCTGTCTCCTAAGGAACAGTCAGAACCTGCTACTAGCGGGAAGTCAACGCCACTTGTGGCAAATCACCGACCAAAAAGGCAATGAGACGAAACCCGACTTATTTCAAAAGATTTGAGGTGATCCTTCAGTTATTTGATCGATGACACATTTAACGCCATGAGGTCGCCGCCTACTGGAGAGCCCGCGTGGCATGGTCGAAACTATCTGTTAATCTGTGCCCTTGAGGCTTCTTCGTCTTAATTGATTTGTTCCTATCTAATAAGAGCTGTTTTATTAATCGTGTCGCAATTTAGTGCCCTCTCAAGCCCGAAGGCACTAAAGGATTGCTGCTGGTCACGGAGGACAGGGCGGAAGAGGGCAATGATGGACTTTGAAGTAAGCCCCTTCGACCTAGAGCCGGGCGGGTCTACCAATACTTCAAGCGAGCTATTACCTAATGCAGATAAGGCCTCGCTGAAGCCTCAACCCTGCTGGGGTTTCTCGACCGGCTCCCACCAGTCGGCGGTGATCGTCCCCTCATTCTGCCGCTCCACGCTGAGGCTGGAATCAGTTGAGGATTACTTGCTAGTTTACTGCGTTGGTTCCTGGTGTGTCGTTCGCGGCCCAGCAGCTTGCATGTTAGAGTCAAGCAAGGCCGTTAATTTGCTGCCTAAACTTGCTCAGCGCGCTCCCCTTCCTGAGTCCAAACCCACCCAAAGAGAATTAACCGAATGGCTCCGGCCATCTTCGGTATTTTCCACACCCTTAGATCGCCCGTTGGGTGGTCAGCCATCTTCGCCGTACACCGAGAGGGTATTCTCCCGACATTCCAACAAGGTTAACCTCCTAGTATACTCCCATGCGCTGAAACTCTGCCTTTCTTGTGAGTCGACTCTACCATAACGTCTATTTAGTCTGTTTATCTGGACGATTTGGTTTAACACAGGGGAAAAATTTGAGTTGGCGCAAGTTGAGCGAGCCAGTCTGAGTGCGGCTTGCATGTAAGGATCTTTGCATGTACTGTGTGCCTCAGCGGAGCAGCTGAACTCTACAAGAGGGTCCGGCATTATGCCTCTCTGCCGCCTTTGGTCGCCGCACACTCTGAGAGAGGTGGCATTGGTGCAGGTGCCATCATGGCACGAGGTTGCTGCTGCGCACTTCAGCCACAATGGAAGCCTCCTGTTCCTGCTGCTAGCAGACCCTCAACACTCTCTTGCAGTTTATTTTCACGTTAATTTGGCCCTTCAAGGCCAGCTAGGCGAATATGTTAGCACGCATTCTCCCTCAGGGTTGCCACTGCTGCATGTGACACATGTGACTCCCTGCACCCGCTCTTTGTTGAATGGCCTCACGCTCGAGCCTACGCCGAAAACAGCCCGACAGAGTCATTTCAAACGCGGGCGCAGTCAGTGGTGCTGGACAAAAAGTGGATCGTTATGGTCTACGAATAAGGGGAGCGAAATTCTGGCTGAGAATGCAACGAAGTGTGGCAGCAATGAAGGCCTCCACATCCGTCTTGCAACGTTTGGCTTGGGTCACCTACGTGTCTGGAACATCAACAGCGAACGCTTCTCTCAGCCGCCATCGTACAAGAGTTTGTGCATTTCCCGACTGGGTGGTGACGGAGTACAGAACGGACAGCCTGAAGCGACGGCTTGTGCGTTTTTGGCCTCTGGAGACATCATTACGGCCCTTGCTGACCGCCGCATTGTTGTGTTTCGAGGGTTGGCGCCACTGCGCTCTGTTTCTCTGCCATCTTTCTGCAGCAGAGTGGTATTCCTGCAGCTTGTGCAGAGGAGCTTGCTGCTGCTGGTGGCTCAGGAGGGCCTCGTTCAGTTGCTACCTCTCACTTCCTTGACTTCCACTGGAAGTGGTTTTCAAGCCCTATCTGGGAGCAGTGCGGGAGCGCAACCTGAGCTGCCTAAGTCTGTGGAAAAGCTTACCACACGAACAAGAACTCCGCCTGCATCCTGCCTCCCGCAGACCGCCACAGTCAACCAGCCAGCCCGCTGCCGCTCGCAGTCTGATTCGCACTCGATGACTTCCAGGACAATTTCGCGGTGCCGATCGCCTGCGCCGAAGTCCACCGCCACAACTCCCCCTTTTGCAACAGGATCAGTGCATGCTCCGAGGCGAACGCCTCGCAGCACATACGGCGACTCTGTCGGCCGCTGGTACTCAGGCAGTCGGCGTCGGTTGCGCCCTTTGAGTGCAGCCGGCAGCAGAGGGAAAACTCAGCGTCCAGAGAAATCTTCTCTCCACCGCTCTCCCTCGGCAGTCAGTCGAACGAGCACTCGTAGCAGCGTCGGCAGAAATACCCGGAAAGCAGAGATGCAGCAGCAGCAGCAGCGGCAGCGCCTGCAGGGGCGTCACAAATACCCTTCCCACGGCTATGCCGCAATATTATCATTGCGTGAATTGCACCCGAAGCGATGCTTGAATATCCAGCAAGTGGCCTTGAGACATATTAAGAGTGGACGAACAGACGCAGCGTCTGCGTGGCTGCCACTGCACAGTTCACAAGTTGCTGCGGTGTACTGGAGCGAGCCTCTTCTGTTGCTTTGCACGAGGACGCAAGTCTTGGTAATGGACGCCCTGCAGCTTTCAGCGGAAACCTCTCTTGTCTTACAGGAAAGGCCCCTGGGAAGCCTCGACGTCTCAGCAGTTCTGCCTCTTCCGAGCTCGCCAGCTGTTGCTCTTGGTTACTCTCAGCAGACCGCTGGCTGCGCCCACCCACCAGCAGCACCTTCTCGGCAGCTGCAAGAGGGCTGTCCTTGCCTTATTGTCATGGGGGGCCGATGTTGTGTGGGAGGAGAGCTCCGCCTGTGGGACCTTCGTTCGCCTAACATGTCGAGTAAGAGACTTTGTGGCCACTAATAGAGTCGCCACCTGCTTGCAGTACAATGAGTGTGGTAATTCACAGAAACATGTGTGGAAGTGCGTGTATATATCGATACATTTGCTGCATATATACTGCACAGCTAAATAAATGCTGAAGCCTTGTGCAACATTGAAATCCTGTGTTTAACCGTCGAGCTATGCGCTTGGGATTCAGGGGAGGAGTCATAGTAATTTCTTTCTCTGTTGCAGCTCTTCCGCTTTACTTTAAGTCCGCTGTGACAGCTGTAGCTGCGACCGTCATAGAGGAGGGATGCCATGGCCTTGTGGCAGTGGGCACGGAGGATGGTGAGATGGTCTTGCTCACGCTCGAACAAAACAACGCAGGGGTCCTCGAGCTGCCTTCAGTCGCACTTGACCGCCAAGTCACGCCTCGTGAGCAGCGTTTTGCACATAAATAAAGACTGTTTTGAACACGTTCACGGGATTTTGTTGCTTTACTGAGATCTAGTTCACTCCTGGGAGATGCGTTGATGGAGACGCACTGATAAGAGCTTCTTGTCGCCTCTCAGGTCCCATTTCTGCTTTGGGGCTTGACAGAGGAGGACGAGTCTTGGCAGTTGCGAGTACGGCAGGCCAAGTCACCTGCTTTCGCCTCACCCCTATTTTCCGCAGAGCTGAAGGGGAACTGACGGACTCAACATTCGCCGGGAGCTTGCTGGGAAGTCGAGTCGGTTGTGTTGATTCACTCCTGCAAGACGCTAGAAGGAATCCTTTCCTTGTTGAATTGGAGCTGCTCACGACGCTGCATGTTCCTTTTTCCACAGCGCCACGACTTATCGAGTTTACGCATTCCCCACAACATCCGGTATAGTAGAACACTAGCACTTTGTTGCATGCTCACTCATGACACCTGTCGTGCTGCTTTCTGAAAATTCACTATCCTACCTGCCAGTGACGAGCAGGTGAGGAGCCTTTCCGTAAAGCACTGCACACTTGGTCGGCACGCATGTGTTACAGGGCCACGTTTTGGTCGCCGGTCCAAATTCTCAGCTTAGCGTCTTCTCCGTACCAGACGGCCGTCTCCTCGTCAATTCTTTGACGTCCGTAAGTTTGCTATGACTTCGCAGCAACCACTGAAGATATGTGCACAGGTGCTTTCTTCGCCCACACTTCACGCCACTGAAGGAATGACAAAAAACACTGCTTGTTTCCCTTCCAGGATACGAAAGTGTTGGACTCATTTCTCCCACTATCCCTGCCGGTTCCCACCATCGTTGGACCCGAAGCAGCCTCCCATTCTTCTGGAGACTTGCTCAATAGGCTGCTTAGTGGGACGCTTGCCAGAGGAAATGTAGGCAGGCTGAATGTTCACAGTTTCCGGATAACGCATTGCCGCGATTGTTCCACGTAGTCTCATGTACAGCTCTAGCCGCGATAAATATAACGCTTGATGGTTTGTACAAGATACTGTGGATCAGTAAAGTGTGACTGCTGTCGCTATGGCAACCATGCTGGTGCATACAACATTTTTTGGTAGTACCCAATGGTACTTTAATCTGTTTGCGCTGTGCCCGCAGAGAAGCCAAAAAGTGTTGCCTGCTCCAATGCTACTGACAGCCTGCATGGGCTTCAGCAGACTGTGCTTAGTATACGAACGTGAACGGCACATTCTGCTAGGAATGGAAGTGCCCAGCTTTTCGGCAGAACAGCAATCAGAGCCACAGCAAGTGTGCAACCAAATTCAAAAGACTACGAGCCGTCACTCTGCAAACATTAGATCTGGGGCAGCCGACTGCGTGTCGCAACAAAAGTCTCATCAAGCTCCGCGGTTTCATAGAGGCGCCGGGCTTGCCAGACTGTATCGCGACCGCGAAGGCTTCGCAGGGTCGGAATCGACTGACGCCACTTCTTCCGGAAGCTTTTCGAAAATGAGACAGTCTCTGGCTGGCCGGCTCAGTGACATGTTGTCCGATCCAGAAATCACGAAAACCTCGTCGGCAGCAATCATTCAATTTTCCACTGGAAAGCTTCCTCATGCCTCCGCACCAAGTGGTCTGCTGTGTTACACGTTCGTAGATCCATGTAACGCAGCCTCTACTTCGCAAAACATAGGCAAGCGTAGCCTGTCAGTTCGTGTAATCTCCCTTGCGACGGACGGATATGTCTTAATGTGGAGCTACAAATTTTCTTACTGCTCACCAGAATTAGTAGGTCATAGGCCATCTGGAAACGTAGAACTCGCGAAGCCTGTGCAGACGAAGAGCCTTCATGTAGTGGGAAACGACCAGCCGATCCAGTCTTGTTGCTTCGACAAGAAGGGAAACGCCTGCAATTCAAACGCTACATGCTTCACAGATTATGCTCAAAACGACAATGGCACTATTCCGGCCCTGCAAAAGTACCCTACTGACCCCATCAACTGCATTGTAGCGCCTTCATCTGGCTCCTTTTGTGGAAATGGCACATACGAAGACCATACAGGAGACATTCAAGCATTGGGCAGGGCAGCATGTAACACGACGGGCCCTGCAGGATCCCGTGACTTCAGCCAGGAGCGTGCGTGAGTCACTTAATATGGCCCCACAAAGCTGTCGAAAAGCACTGCCAATACAGGCGCCCCGCGCTTCAGGTGAATTAGCTTTTTTCCAATTTTGAGACCTGCTGTGTTTTGTGAACAGAATGCGGCCAAGTAGCCTTCCTCCCTCCCAAGTACGACACAGCTGTACTGGTGGCATTTTCCAGTGGGCTACTATGATCACGTGGGCCTTGTATGACGGTAATGTGGGGCGCAACTCCTTTTTAATCCAAAGCAGAAGGCAGCACTAATGTTTATATCTTGGTGCGCGTTTCAGCACGATGACTACAACTCATCGCACGTAATCAACAAAGCAACAGGACAAGCGAAACTCCAGGAGAAGCCTGCTATATTCTCTATGAAAAACACTTCGCATAGATTCCTCTACCGCGCCGCAGAACATCAAAATTCCTTCGAAGTCGAAGTTGTGCTACCAGGTAACACTGTTATAAAAGAATGAAGGTGGCTTTTGATCGAGGAATAACTAGCTTGGCGCCATGTACTGAGTATCTTTCATTGGAAGCCAGGAGATTTGCATCCCAAAATATCGACTTCAATTTTCTTAGAAGACACAGTGGCCAGCAATGCCAAACTGACTACACCGGGGGCTTCGTTAAATGGAAGCTGCTACAGTCTTACACATTTTATCTGGATGTCATCATTGGTTGGCTGATCCAGGAGGAATCGTAGAAAATGTTCGTCGGGAGTTCGCCACGAATACATTGCTTTTTTCCGGTCGCCTAATTAGTGACCCAACGTGGAGGATCCAACTGCCCGGTAAAACTAGTCTAGCGTGGTATTCTGCCAGACAACCCGAAGCAACACGCAGAGTGCTAAACTGCACCAACAATATTATATGTGCGAAGAAGCCACAGTCCCTGTTTTTTTCTCAGGTGACTCTACTACCTGTCGGCTACGACTGCGCGTTCCGTTAAAATTCCGCATTTCGTCGAATGCTGTGACCATCGACCAAAACTTGACCAACGGACACATCTATGTGTCTATTCAAAAATGAGCTGTGCAAAATAACTACCTGGCTCATTTTTTAATGGGTTTCAAACAACCGTGTTTCCAATTACTAGTCTGATTGCAACAATCAGAGTGCTCTTTTCCGCGTGCTGCAAAAAATTTCTGCATACGTTTTTGTATCGCACTTTTCACGCGGACCCATGTCAGCTGGATTCAAAAAGAATTGTTTCGGCGTTATTGCAAACTTTTCCAGTTATATTCAATAACTACGCGCTTTCCGCGCCTCGGGATGCACAACATAGCGCCAATCTGCGCTCGTTCAGAGCCATTTCGCCGGCAGTCATGTCGCTGTGCCACATCTCCGTCTTGGAGTTCAGTAGCCCTGAAGAAGAAATTAAACACCTGCCAACAGGGCTGATGTGTACTTCGGTCTTACCGTTGATGCGTGCCGCGTGAATGCCTCCTTGATATAATTCTTGGAGCGAGCAAAGGTGAGCCGCGGGCTCGCCACACATGTTAGAGTTCACAGCGAAATCATATCCGCAAGAATCACAGCCTGTGAGTTACAAAACTATTGACTGTGAATTTTTAATAGCTTTTGTATTGTCATACCGAGAGATACAAATTCAGAGTCGGGTACGCCTGGAAGAGCAACGTTCTTGTAACCGTTTTGACATTTCCCGCGCGAATTTACATACCAGTCAAGGCAGGGAGAGTCATAGCAGCGACCTCATTGTCCTAGAGACGTTTATGAGTACGTGGTGAAGATACTGGGAACGACAAACTTTCACTTACAGGAAGCCCTCGAGTGTATACGCGGAAGTCATCAATGTAGCCCTTTAAGTAATATGATAGAGCGCACAAAAAGCTTTCAGCCTTGGGATGCTTAAGTTACCTCAAACCCAGGGTTCTCAATGGAGGCTCCAACGACAATATCTTCGGTATTTGGGAGGACTTTTCCCCGGAGGAACTGTAATTCAAGCGTTGGACACATGCTGCCATTCGTGATCGCACTGGCTTCACTCACCACTTCGCTGTCCTTCATGCCCTGAAAAAAATTGACCGACGAATTGTACAGAACACTAGATTGCGAAATGTATCGAGACTCTTACATTCAGAAACAACTTCAGCCTGTTCTCACTGGCGGAAACTGCAAGAAAAAAGGTTGGAGACCATTAGAATTTGGCTTGTTGAGACAAGCCTGTACCTGCAACGTGAGTCCAGCGTCTCATCGGAAGGCTTCCCGTTGAGGCCATTCCCTCGGAGCCACTGTCTTCAGTTGTTACACGAACGGAAAGGCGGCGACTATCTGGGTAGAGTAGGAGGGAGGGCGTCTGCGACATCTCGCTCCTATATTCAAATAATACAGTGTCCCTCAAGATTGCGCAGTGAAGTTCAACCTACCCCTTTGAAACAATGTTGCGGAAGAGGCCATTCGAATCGCTCAGCAAGTACATCCAGAACGAGCTGAAGGCGGAGTATGAACTTGTTTATTTGCAAATGAAATCGTGCTTTGGCTCACATGGTGAAGTCTTGGGACTCCAGTGATGGGCTCGACTTGATTTTGCTGCTTGCGCCCTTTACAAATGCAGCGCTGGCGCCGCGTCCTAAAAGACAACGTTGACAATATCTTGTTAAATGCAAAATGGAACAGTGGTCTACACACCATTGTGCGGTGGGCCCGCCCGTGGAGTCCTGTGCATATGGTTTCCGTTCCCGCTTTGGTCTGCGGAATACAGGTGGTCGAATGTCAGCCAGGCTCCAAGACCTTCTGGAACGGAATTCCCAGTCATGACTTGCTCCGTCCCGGCTATAAAACACTGACATCAGCGAAACTGAATTGGCGGTGTGACCAGCGAAAGCCTTACCGAAACAAAGGGAGTTAGGCACTGAGAAGCAGCTTTGGGTGTACTTTCCGGCAAAGTTCAAGGTAGTCTTGACTCCATTGACTGTATCCTCAAGAGAGGTTGCCTCCTTGGGGACTGCAGATTCTTCTGCAGTAACTCCGGTGGCATAGACGCATCCGCCTAGAAAAACGGGGGCAAGGAACTTCATCGTAACGAGCATGTACTCTGCAGATGAAGCAAATTGGAGTCAAAATAATGTCAGCCTTCGCGTGCCGAACTTTGCAAAATGAAACCCGAAGGAACCGGCGTGAATTGCATATTGGGCTTCTGGGGTGTATCGACGCCTCCGCGTTCGCCGATTATGAAGACCTGCTCGCTCGATCTTCGTCCCATTTTTTTCCTAGATAAAAAAATTCGTCACGAATCATAATTTGCATGAAATTTCGAGTTGCTAAAAGCTGCAACACTTTAATCGGGCAACAGACACTCATCTGTAACCCCTGCATCTGCAACAACAATGTAGGCAAATAAACAGTATTCGACCCTCTCCTCAATGGAAAACAGGTGTTAACATAAAGAAGACTCTTCGAGTTAAGCTGAAGATGGTGCTGTTCCTTGAATATAGGGCAGTTTCGTATTCTTGTAACCCTGCTCATTGTGACAAGACCCGTGCGCAGCTCAATAATGCACATAGATGATCAATAATCCATCGCGCAACAAGGTACTCAATCCCGCTACTACATACTTAACGGCAGCTCTTGAGTTTGTACATATGTCTCGACCATCGCTTGTGGTCCTTTTTGGGATCGCTTCAACGCGAAAGCCCCTAGTCGCTAGTGGTTGCTGATCGGCGCTCTGCGTCCCACTACACAGTATGTTGCTATCTGTTCCCTGTGATATGCAGCCACTTTCAGCAAACACAATATTATTAATCACCACGAAGTAGATTCCCCATGGAATGCGCTCGATCGCGCCATGCGAAACAATGAGCTGACCCAACCGGTCACGTTTGAAAGGAGTCACAGCGCATCGTAAGATTGTGCCACAGCTATCATGGCCTATGTCATCCTGCAAACCCCCCCCAGAGTGATTTAATTAGAGTGGGAGCCTCTCTCGCACTCGGTTCTACCAATATTTCAAATCTTTCTTTGTTGCGCTCGCCCTGTTGAACAGCTCCTCCGCTCCACCAAATGCTAGGAACGTCAACTATGGTCAGTCTAGCACTGCAATATGAAATTAGAGTACAACAAAGGAAAAAGAAAACTTTTTGTCACATCGGTCCAAAAATTTAGCACACCAGCCACCTGAACCTTCGGAGACCCGAGAACGCCTCGGAAGAACAGCGTTTCGCCGAGCTGGTCCTTTTAACCATCTGTAGAGGTACCAGTTGTCACCAACCACGCAAGAAGCCAGTCAACTTCCACAATGTAGCAGACGGGCGTGTGTCTGCAAGCCGCGCTGCGGAGAGTTCACTGAAGCTGATATGCTCCCCCAACTACCGCCCAGGGCATCCGAGCATCGGCTTGGCAGTTGTGCACATCGCCAGGTGGCGAGGCGCTGTCGCACATGTTCCACTGAAGGACAGGGAAACCCTTTCCCATGTTGCAGCGGCCCCAGCACTGCAGCGCAGGCGCAATGTGCCATCCCACGAGGAGGTGGCGGGGGGCACGCGGAGCGGAGACCCCCGTTTGCTTCAAGAGAGAAGTACCACCGGGTGAAACATGAATAAAACCCGCCCCTGCGGCTGCGGAGCCGCGGACGCTGCTGGCTGCGCCCCCCCGAAGACAAGTATTGGAGCTGTCCAGTTAAAACTGGGAGGTGGTCGCAGCAGGGCCCCCGAAGCCTCTCCAGCTCAAACCAATTGAAAGGCAGCCCGCCGATTACCTGGTGAAGGCCCGCACTACGCGGGGACGTCGAGGGCGCCTCCCGCAGCAGCGGGCGGCTGCTGCTGCCGCGGGTGCTGCGGAGCAGCAGCAGCCGCGGGGGGGCCCCCTTGTTCGGCTTCGGACTTGAGGCTGGCGAGTTTGGGCTGCCCGGCGGGGCTCCCGGCGTCGCTCGCGAGTGGCGGCGCGTCCCCCTTGTTGAGGTAGCGCGAGAGCAGCACGAGCTGCTGAATGTGCATTGCAAGGATCGACTGTATGAGCGCCAGCTGCTGCTGCGCGGCCAGCTGGCTGGGAAGCTTCAACTCCTCCAGACACGGAGCCACGATCATCAGCGAGGGCTGCAGCTCCGCAGTGGAGGTCGCGTTGCCCACGAGGTTGGTGTGCATCAGCAGCGTCTGGTCCATGAGCCGTTTCGCCGTGGTGGCTGCTGCGAGTTCGACTGCGGAGCTCGGCGCCGCTGCTGCTGCTGCTGCTGCAGCTGCGGAGCTCGCCGCGGCCTTCGCCGTCAGGTACTGCGCCAGCACGTTGTTCCGCAGGTCCTCCAAAATAAACAAAATGGCTTCCTTGTACAGGCAAACCACCGTTCGGTCGTCTCGGCTGGAGTTCTGGCCCGCGCAGGGCGTTGATGCTTTCCCTTTGCGGCTTTCCCCGCTCGCCTGGTTCGCCACCGCTGCTGCTGCGGAGGCCAGCACTGCAGCAACGCACTCCGAGTGGTCCGCCTTCAGCTGGTGCTTCGCGCTGCTGCTGCTGCTGCCGGGCGAGCCGTGGAGCCCCGCGGCGATCAGGTGCGCCGGGTTTCCGGTGGCTGTCACTGCAGCAGCAGCAGTGGTGGCCTGCTGCCGGAAGTGCACGGCTCTTTTGTAGGCTTCGACGCAACTTTCGAAAAACTTGTCGTAAAAGTAACGCCGGTATCCCTTCCAGTAAACTGCCCACCGCTTCTTCGTGTTGTCCCGAGACACCCCGCGCACAATTGGATACAGCCGCTGGCTGCTCGCCTCCTCCTTTCCCGCCGCTTCGCACACGCTGTAGTACCCGAGGGGCCCTCGAAATGCAGAAGGCCCTAGGGCCTCTTCGTTTACGAAGGGATCGCCGCCAGCTACCCGCTCGATCAGCTGCAGCTCCGCGAGGTAGGAAGGCGAAGACGGGTTCGACGGCGACTCCGCCGCTGCTGCTCCCCCCGACTCCGGGCACGTTTGCTGCTTCGGCTTCCGCTCCGCGAGGGTTCCTGCTGCTGCTGCAGCAGCTGCAGCAGCAGCAGAAGCTGCGGCGCCGCCTTCCGCAGGATCGCCTTCGCCGTCGCGGCCTCCGCCCGCCAGCGACGCCGCGAGGAGCCGCAGCTCGCTGCTGCCGCTGCTGCTGCTCACGCTGGCAAAGCTGCTGCGGCGCTGGTCCAACAAATGCATTTCTATTATGCGCCGTTTGTAGGCGCGGGTTTCCTCGCTCCCGTCGTCCTCAGCTCCCGGGCTGCAGTTGCTGGTCCGGCGGCTGTTGATGTTGCTGTTGCACGCAGTGCTGTTCGCGCTCGTCAGCAGCCGCTTCCCGTTCTCCTGCTTCTCCCCCAAACCGCTCAGCTGCTGGTGGTGCTGCAGCAGCGCAACGAGCTCCGCAGACAAAGCGGGCAGCCGCCCGGCCAGTTCCCCCGTGCCTCTCGCGGCGGCCGCCTGATCCGCGCTGTTCAAGTCGAAATCGACGCAGCCGCTCAACTGACATTCTTGAATAAGTCGGGAAAACAAAGAAGTGCTCACTGTGTCCTCTCCCTGCAGCTCCGTCTTGCTCGCTGCAGCTTCGAATTCACCTGCGCCGCCGCCCGACGGGTGGCTGGCCTCTTTGCTGCTGGCAGCAGCAGCGCCGCTGAACATGCCTCCGTTCGCTGCTGTGAACTCGGGGCGTTCTGTCGCGGCGAACTCCGCCAGCAAACTTTGAAGTTCCGAAAAATCCTGGCCGCCCCCACAGCGGCGCTGCTGCTGCTGCTGCTCCCCCGCGCCTCTTGAAGCCGCCTCGGCTGCGGCCGCCGCCGCCTCCGGCCTGCCCCCCGCGGGCTGCGCGCCGCCGCGGGCTGCGAAAGAGAGCGCCTGCGCAGAACTGGGCCTGCTGCTTGGGCCCAGGGAAAGTGTTGAAGAGGCGGGTTTCGAGGCTTCGCTGCGGCTGCTGCTGCTGGAGGAAGTGGTCTGCAGCCCGTCCCGCAGACCCGAGAGATCCACTGCTGAAGAAAGCATTGCTGCAGTGTCTGCGGACGAAAACGAGGGCTGCTGCTGCTGCCGGCCTTCGCCCTGCTGCTGCTGCGAGGCGCGCCGCGCCCTGCGCCGCTCGTACGCCGCCGCGAAGTCCTCGGGGGAAATTGTGTTGCTGCTGCTGTATCCGTCCTCCTCCAGAGGCTGGTGGGCCGGCCGGCTCCACTCGAGGGCTTCCTTATTTGCTGCAGCTTCCTCGGCTTCCCGCCCCGCGGAGGACGGAACGCTCTGCGCAGTCCTCGTGCGGGCGCTCATGACTCTCCTGCTGAGTTCAAGTATTGCGAGGTCTCGAGCCAGTCGCTCCTCCCTCATTTCCGCAGCTGCTGCAGCTGGCTCGCGTCGCTTGGACTTGCAAAGCGGCGGTCTTCCAGCAGCGACCATGTTGCTGCGTCGCGGAAACTTGAACTGCGCCGCCTCCGAGGAGGAAGCTGCACGGGTGCGCGGGGGGCTGCGCAGCAGCGACAAACACCCGAATCCCTGCAAAGCCTACTTTGGAAACAATCCACTAACTACGCTGAAAAGAATCCACTGATACAAACAAATAACTGCTGGACTGGGCGAAGCGGTGGCGACGCGACTGCTCCTCCCGGTCAGGTGAACGCCGTCCTTGGGAGTGAGCGTCTACCACTAGCCAGAGTCCTCCCGCATTCGAGGGATTGCACCCTCTAGATCCCTTGAAAATTTTCCGCTACACATCCACAAATGCTCTTGTCGACTTCCTTCCCCCTTGCGCTGGCTCGCCCGAACGACCGCCGCGGTGCTGCACAGGCCGCGTCTCTCGAAGAAAATGCGGCGCCAGCAGCTCTTAATTGCAGAAAACGGAATTTAAGATTATTGGAAGGCCCCCAAGCTTACCCGATGGCGCTGGACACCGCAACGAGTGACCTGGACCTGACCGCTTGGCGCAGTCGTGTGCTGAGGCCAGGAAGGCAAGCGCTGCTGCCCGCGAGCTGGCTCTGCACTATAAAACTAGAAAGCTCAAGACAATGTTCCCTTAGCATATGGAGAAGGATTCGCGGAACTGGGCATGCGAAGATGTGGCCGGTCGCCGATCACCACCAGCTGACCCACCGTGAGCGAGTGCTAGGCAGGTGCAGCCAGCTGAAGCAATTTTGGGCAGCACGGCAAATGGATCCTTCGGGCTTCCTTGTTGGCTTTCTAAATAAGAGCAAATCAATAGTTAAGCAAACCGGCGTCTCCAGCTGGGAAACGAGCTACGCACACCTCCGCAGCAGCCCATCGGCATGGCGAGGTGGCTGAGGAATCCTTCTGCAGGAGGAACGACCGCTCTTGCAGATCGCCTTCCGCCGCACCTTCTGGCACAGGCTTATTGTGTCTCTGTCCCACTCTGAAAACAGTTGTTCGATTAAGCGGAATAAAACAGAGAGAAAAAACGAGTGAACCACAGCCGCCTGACGGTGTGCGATGCGACGCAGGCGCAGAGCTGCTGCGGCGGGTGAACGAAGGCTGCCTTCACAACGAGCGTCCACACGTTCCCTCAACAAGATTTCCGGGATCTTTGCATGACAATCATTCAGTAGTAAGTTTAAATCAATATAGAAGAAAGTTTAAGACGAACTGCCCGTGAATACATCGACGCCGCGGTGCCGTTGACCAAGTTAGCGAGCTCACCCGGGAGGGAGTGCAGGAGGTTTGGGTAGCCAAGTCTGTTTGCGGCCCTAGACACCGGCCTCACGAGCTTTAAAAGCAATTAGACAGTTATTTAAGAGTTATTTATGACTCAGTTACTGCTGTCTTTCGTACACTCACACATAAACCTGAGAACGAGTCCCCTGGCTCCTTTCCTCCGCTTGTTCTGAAATGCCCAGCTGTGCACAGCCGTGCAAGTTTCCAGCGGACGTTCCTGGAAATCTGTCCTTTTTCCTGCTGCATTTTCTTTTATGTTCAACACCGTGTCACTGAGGACTTCATGACCTTCATTTTATGGAACAAATCTGCAAAAGAAGTCGAGAATCCCGTGACATGTTGAATGTATTTCGCGCGGGTCGGCCGATGCAGTGGCTTGCCGCTTACCGGGAGGAGAGCAGCCACCTCAGTATCCGACTGTTTATTTGCAAAGGTTGGCTGCTTTCCAAAGGAAGCAGACGATTGGGACAGGTTTTTGCGGCTGTCCTATGCACTACGCCCGCACAACTAGTGGTAGAGGCCGAACTTCACTGATTTTTGCAATGGGGTGGCCAGGTTGACAGCCTTGTCTGGCTATAAATCTGCAGAAGTTTGGCTTTGCTGGCCATAAGAACCCTCCATGGACCTCGAAGGTCTTGTATCATTGGCCGGCGCAAGCATAAACAAATTCACAATCACTTGATCGCGGCATTGCGAAACGAGCGGCCGGAAGACCGTCTTCGGTGACAGGCTCGGAAAGTGCATTTATTAGATTCCCGAGTAGCTAGAAGAAAAGAATTACTTGTGATGGGCTAGCTGTCGCAAACAGCAATATGGTTCAAGTGCACAACTTTTCACAATTCTTCAGTTGGCAAGAAAAAGCTGCGTAAAATGAGGAGCTTCAGGGTGTAGACAGGACTTACGAAGTGTAAGAGGGGGCACTATTAGCAAATTAGAGAAAGAATGAATCCCAGGGAATGTTTGTGGCTGGAGCGGATGAGACATTACACTGAGGAAGTAACCAACAGCGCTTCGTTCGCATTTACTTCTTTCCATTTTCCGCTCTTGACCTAGAGATCGGGGCCAAAGAAATACAAAGAAACATTTGACTGTTTTTGATGCAGTCAAAAGCGTCTTTGCCTTCTGTTTGTATCTTTATGAAAAGGCGCCTCTCAGTTATTTTCCTCTTCTTGCCGCATGCAAGCCACATACATATTTCTCTCGTTTTGCCAGTACTTCTATCTGTATGCTACACAAACGTCCTTACAGACTCTCAACAGTTTTAAAAGGCCTAGAAGCCTACGGAAAGCTTGGATTTAGTTTTCAGAAAATAACTAGATCAACTAATTCAGTGCTCGCTGAGGAGCCCAGTCAGAAACAACAAATTACTGCGTTTCTCTTTGTTTTCCTAGCACATCGATTGAATTAATGCTAGATTAGAACACTTTTATTGTTAATTTTTGTCCCCGTTGTACAACAGTTCCTAGAAATGCATTTGGGGCTGAAAAACTCCAGCATACCCTCTCGACATAATACTTCAAGTTCCAGCAGTTTCATCAGCTAGTGACCGAGGGCGCAATCTCCAGAGTTCATCTTTGGAGCGGCTCCTGCAGGCACATGCTTATACGGTTTCTTTGCAGAGAGCTTGAAAATCAGAAGCAGCAGAGTGTTTGTTCAGGTTTATCCATAAGCAGCAGAGTGCGAGTTCAGGTTTACCAAGCCAATGCACGCTCCCTCCTTCCCCCTAAATGGAAACTCTCCCATTACGCTTTTTTGCCATCATGCACACATCTATTGTTTAAGTAAAGGGAATCCAACAACAGCTTTCAATGCTACTGGTGGTAAGAACGGCACTTGTCAGCCTGTAGTCCAGCGACAGCGGCGCCGAGAGGGTAAATGCAAGGAAACCTGCTCATATTTGTGCCTAATAAAAGAATTAATAGTATTTTTTGCATAAGAGTGGACTGCTGCCTCTTCTTAACGCGCACAGCCGTTGCCGACTGTTCCAATTGGCCGGCTGCAGCCATGATCGAGATTTGCACGCGAAGGCTTCATCTCAGGCAGGCCATACTGAAGCCAGTTTTTCAGTGATAAATGATTCTTTTCTTCTAAAGTTAAGAGCTGATTCTCATTAGTTTGGAAGGCTGCAGGTGTTCTCGGGATTTCGTCGTGGGCTGCTGCCCACAACTGAAGACGGGAGACTGCGTCCCATGGCAGCTTGCGATTAGATGTATTAATGCGGATTTCAGATGGAATGGAGTTGCAATTAGTCATTTTATTTAGTTAGTTGCAGACTTATGATCTATCAAGTCACTTCCGGCTTGATTTCATCTTTGCAAATTCTGAACGAGCATCGGCGTGCAGCGAGACGGGCTGCTGCCCGTCTCTGGCAGCGGGAGCAGTGCCGACACACTCGCATCCCAGGTTTCTTCGTGGGCCAAATTGAGCCATGTCTTCCTTAAAGCAAATGAAATACAAAGATAGAGAAAAATCCCGTTTGTATGTTCTGTAGGGGCATTATTTCATTGGAATATTCCCGCGTCAGTCCCCACAGAGAGTGCTCACCCTGGCGTTGTCGCTCCTTCCCTGCGACTCCTGTGCTTCACTTGGAACATTACTCTGTCTGTGTTGAATAAACTAATACTTTTGGACTTTTTGAACTGCAAAATGGAGTCTTCTGCAGACAATGCCGCGCGGAGTGGTCCAGTTTCCGTTTCGGTTGCGCTGCCATCGGACTGGACTGTGAACGAAAGGCAAATGTGTGATCTTGAAATGATCATAAGCGGCGCCTTTGCTCCGCTTGAGGGATTTATGGGCATTTCTGACTATCAAAGGTGGGCGAGGAAGCACAAATAAAGCGTGTCGGGGGCCAGTAGTGCGCTTTCATGCAAGACTTGGAGCGTTCAAGAAAGTTGAACTGTGGAGCTTTTGGCGCGGAAACCTGGGAAAGCTCTTTGTTTTCTGTGTGTTTGCGCGAAGCGTGTTGAATTCGATGACTTTGTGCAACGGCGAAGTGTTTCCGCTTCCCGTGGTGCTGGCGATTCCGAAGTCTTGCTGCGGCGACAACGCGGCGACGAACGTGTACTGGATGAGTTCTGCCTCCTCCGTGAGCACGAACCAAGGCCGCATGCTTCTGCGGGACTCGGTGAGTCAAGTTTGCTGCGGAATCTTTTGCTTTTGCTGCAGCAGCGCGCACGCCTTCGGAGGCGCAGCTCGGCTGCTGCTGCGTTCTTGCGAGCTGCTGCCGCGTTCTTGCGAGGTGCTGCTGCGTTCCTGCGAGCTGCTGCTGCGTTCTTGCGAGGTGCTGCTGCGTTCTTGCAAGCTGCTGCTGCGTTCCCGCGAGGTGCTGCTGCGTTCCCGCGAGGCGCTGCTGCTCAGGTGGGAACAGTGATTGCGGAGCTGGGCGTGGAGAGCGTTTACCTGCCGGACCTGGAGGAGGAAATGGAGAAGGTGTTGGGCACGACGGACGCGAACCACCCGTACGTGAAGTACCTGCGGGAGAACCACTCGGAGTGCTACTACGTGGGCGGGAAGATCCGCGCGGTGAACGCCATTGCGCACTTCAACTTCGAGAACTACCGCATGTCTCCGGCGCTGTGCAAGGAGAAGATCCGCGAGCGGGGCTTCGAGGTGGTGGTGGGTTTCCAGACGCGCAACCCGCTGCACCGCAGCCACTACGAGCTGGTGAAGCGCGCGCTGCAGCACGCTGCTGCTGCTGCCAAGAAGCGGCCCATGCTGCTGCTCACTCCCGTCGTGGGCCCCACGCAGCCCGGCGACGTTCCTTACTACTTGCGCGCCCGCTGCTACGAGCACGTCATCCGCCACTTCGAACAAGACCCTTCTTGCCAGTTTCCGCACCTCTGCCCCACCTCCGCCAGCACTCCTGCGCGCAGCCCGCGCGGGCACCAGCAGCAGCAGCAGCAGCAGCAGCAGCAGGAGCAGCAGGGGCCCAGCAGCAGCAGCAGCAACGCCATGCTGGTGCTGATTCCCCTCGCAATGCGCATGGCCGGGCCCCGCGAGTGCGTCTTGCATGCGCGCATCCGCAAGAACTACGGCTGCACCCACTTCATCGTTGGCCGCGACCACGCGGGGCCTTCTGCGCGCCGCCAGGACGGGTAATCATCAAGTCCTGCTGCTGCATGCGCTGCATGCAGCGCCTCCCACAGCAGCAGCAGCAGCAGCTGCTGCTGCTGCTGCTGCTGCAGCTTTCGTGGAAAGTCGGAATGTCTTGTGCGTGCGAGTGCCGTCTGGACACGCAGACTTGCTGCTCGCCCGCAGCAGCTTCTGCGCTGCTGCCGGCCCGCACGCCTGCATGCACGCTGCATGCGCGCGCATGCACGCCTGCATGTGCGCATGCATGCGTGTGCTGCTGCATGCATGCGGTGTGCTGCGGCTTTCGCAGCACTCCGTTCTACGGGCCCTACGACGCGCACAAGCTGCTGGGCTCCGTGGCCGCGCAGCTGGGGATAAATCCGATCTTTGGCGAAGAAATGGTTTACGTGGGGGAGCAGCACGGGGGGTACGTTCCTGCGGGGCGGCTGGCGGAGATGCAGCAGCAGCAGCAGCAGCAGGAGCTGCAGGTGCACTCCATTTCGGGCACGGAGTTCCGCAGACGCCTCACCGCTCGCCTCCCCATCCCCGAGTGGTTCTCCTTTCCCAAAGTCATTGAAGAGCTGCAGCAGTTTTACAAACAAAACCACGAGCGCGGCCTTTGCGTCTACTTCACGGGCCTGCCTTGCTCCGGTGCGGCCCCTTTGCATGCAGCTTTCCGCTTTCTCAACAAGCTGCAGCGCAGCAGCAAGCTGCTGCTCCGCCGCTACCGCGCTGCTGCGCTGCTGCTGCGGCGCAGCGGCGCAGCAGCGCAGGAGCTGCTGCGCTGCTGCTGCGGGCGGCTGAGCCCTGCGCAGGGTTTCTTGAATTCGATTTGCATGCGCGTTCAACCGAGTCCCGCAGCTTCCGGCTGGCTCTGCGCGTTTTTGCAGGAAAAAGCACTCTTGCAAATGCTTTGGAGGCTGCGATCCTCGAAAACCGCAGCGAAAGGCGCAACGTGACTTTGCTCGACGCCGACGTGGTCCGGCAGCACTTGTCGAAGGGGCTCGGATTCAGCCGGGAAGACCGCAGGAAAGTTGAATTTAAATGCAAATTAATAAATGTATTGCTCTTTTGCTGCTCCGGTTCGTTCATTGTGCCGTTTTCCCGCGCTTTCCCTCGAGTTTCCCGCGCTCGGCTCGGGCGCGCCCACTCGCGCTCGGGTGTACGTACACCTGCGCTGCAGCACGAACGTGCGGCGCATTGGATACATCGCCAGTGAAATTACGAAGCACGGCGGCATTTGCATAGTGGCGAACATTGCGCCTTACACTTGCGACCGCGAGTTCAACAGAAAGCTGATCGAAAAGGAAGGCGGTGGGTCGAAAGCCGCAGCGTCCGCAGCCTGGAAACTTGCATGCGGCCGCAGCTTGCTGCCTGCTGCTGCGCTGCAGCGCCGTTCCGGGCTGCTGCTGCTGCAGCGACGCGGCTGTGCGCCAGTGCGTGTTTGCTGCCAGGCGTGTACGTCGAGGTCTACGTCTGCACGCCCCTCTCCGTCTGCGAAGAACGCGACATAAAGCACTTGTACAAAAAAGCCCGACAGGGAATCATTAAGCAGTTCACTGGCGTTTCGGACCCTTACGAGGCGCCGCAGAAGCCCGAGTTGACGATCGACTCCAGCTCCGACATCAAGGACAAAGTTGCACAAGTCCACCAGTACCTCAGGGACCAGGGGTACGTCTTGGAGGCACCCCCCCTCAGCAAGTGCTGCTAACCGCACCAGCAGCAGCAGCAGCAGCAGCAGCAGCTCTGGCGCTTGACGGGCAGCAGGATCGTTCGAGAAAGCGCCGCGTTGCTCGCTCTGCAAGACCTGCGGTGTACGTGCACTGCAGCAGCCCACGCGGCCCCCCATGACTCCTCCCCACTACGAGCCTGTCTTTTCTTTCTTATCCACAAAAAGCAAGTGCAAGTGCATTTTGGTAAAATGCAATTCGGGCTTTCTGAACGGCGCCACGCCGTTCGCGCCGTCTGGAGTGTACAGACACCTGCGGTGTACGGACACCTGGACTGTACAGACACACCGAACTGCTCCTGAAGACGGTTTTAAGATTTGTTTTCATTCCGCCACTAAATTGCAAAAGTCCTTTTCTTTTTGGACTGCTTTGCAGTTCAAAAGCAGAAACAAGAAGATAAAACGGCTTAAATGTTTATTTTTCAGTTTCATTTTCGCAAAAAGACACCTT